AACCATCAGGAACATGCAGCTGAAATGATCCAGATCAGATGCTCTTTTTGGAATGAGGAGGAAACTGCAATGTTTACACAGTAAATCAAACTGTTAATTCAAAAGATCAAAGTTTTTTCTCATAATACGACCCTTTAATGCTCTCTAACAGCCGGTCTGCAGCTGATTAATTGGTCGTTCTGTAGACGACAGAACGTCTCGTTAGGAAGACAGCGGCCCACAGGGGACGGAAGCAGCCGGGACCCTGTCAAAGTGAATGAGTTTACATTCAGAACACCTCCTGCCCTGGACAGAAACCTGCTCCAAACGTTCTCCGAAACATCAGACCCTCACTATACTCTCACTAGATTGCATTCTGAAACTCTTTAAAAATATACCGCAAACATGCAGTTTCAAGTACTGGATTTATTATCAGCAATGCTGTAATCGTGCCAAGTATTTATCTGCTTGTCCGATGCACAATGCACACAACAATGGCCTTTCAAAATTCAAATAAAATACTTATCAAATAAATAATTTGTAGAGCAGAGCTTTTGGAGTCTTTATAGCTTTTTTATTCAGAGAGATTCTAATACTGTCTATGTACAGCCTAACTTCAGTCAACTAAACCATAACATTGGTTCCCTTTCATGGGAACTTCGAACTGCGTCCTCTAGGTTTCCCCATAGCGACCCCTAGAGGACGCAGTGTGTCAATCCCTACTCAGGGAACCATGGTTACATACGTAACCTGAGATGTTCCCTTTCATGGGAACTTTGAACAGCGTCCTCTAGGGGTCGCTATGGGGAAACCTAGAGGACGCAGTGTCTCGTTCCCTACTCAGGGAACCATGGTTACATACGTAACCTGAGGCGGTTTTTAATACACTAGTTGGGTTTTTTTACACTAGCATTTATGAATGTGAAATTTGGTTAAAAATGTAAGTTAATAAATTAAATAAAAATTAGAGTCTGTGAAGCACAGAACTGGTCACAAACGTTTGGCTCACAAATAATTATTAATAATTAAATTCACAATATAACAGCTTGCTTTGTTGTGAATAACAATGCAAGCAAGGATATATTTATTCACAATAGTAATAATAATAATAATAATAATAATAACTGTATCAGTTGTGTTTACTCAGACAAGAATCATTGTAAGTTTTGCCCATAAAAAATAAAAATAAAAAATAAATAAATAAATTAAATTAAATTAAATGAAAAAGTACATATTCCCATGAAAGTAAGACAAGTCTTGAACACTGGATATTTTCATTGAAGTCACTAAATTCATTCAAGTTTTAAAGCTTGTTAATGTCATCCTAACTTCACTAAGGGTTACTGAATATCCGATTTCAAAAAAGCACACGCTCCAAAATGGCATGTAAAAAAAAAAAGCAAATTGGTTGGTTATTTTACTTATTATCAGACCGTCTAAATGGACAGCTCTTGGCTAAAATAAGAAGCTAAAGTTAAAATTGTCTCCACATTTACTCAAATGAAGGACATTTATTTCCGCAAATCCTTGTATTTTTTACCCTGACATCTTCGTGATGCACTATCATTAAACGCAAAGTATTCTGTAATGTGCAAAGTGCCCTATTCTGTGTTCCACACCCGTCTGTCTCAATGAAGTCTTTTATCCAGAATCTGTCATGCAAAATCACGTTTAAGTTACTGCAATCTCCACGTCTCTGTTTTCGGCCGCCAGACTGACTGTGATGAACTCTAATGCACATGTTCACAGTAAGACTCGATCCTGTTGTCAGATTCAGATTCAGACAGTATTAGAGTGGAGTTATTATCTAGCGGGGGTTTGTGTGGAGGATGGGAGTGGCCCAGCGAGCGGCTGATTGAATGTATTGAGGGCAGATGGGACGTGTTGAGTGGCATTTGTCCACAAAAAGCTGTAAGAGCAGGACACAGCTGTGAGCTTCAGACTCCTTTAGAGCCACAGGTTGATTTTAAACTGCTTGATTGCAACCCAATAAATCCCAAACACAAGCCATGGAGACCCTCATGCTTTAAAGTCAACGTGAAATGCAGTTGTGATGTTGAGAAATGTTGTTTGATCATTTTAGACCGAAAAAAAAAGAGTTTTGAATTGTTTTTAATTGTAACTTCATCGGAATGGTACAAAACGAGTTCTGATCAAGTGTTCCTGTTCATTTTTTGCTGCATTTTTATTTAATTTTGATGTTCGGATTAGATTATGTACAGTGCTGGGTATATTATTTGGAATAAAATAAAATAAAATAAAATAAAATAAAATAAAATAAAATAAAATAAAATAAAATAAAATAAAATAAAATAAAATAAAATAAAATAAAATAAAATAAAATAAAATAAAATAAAATAAAATAAAATAAAATAAAATAAAATAAAATAAAATAAAATAAAATAAAATAAAATAAAATAAAATAAAATAAAATAAAATAAAATAAAATAAAATAAAATAAAATAAAATAAAATAAAATAAAATAAAATAAAATAAAATAAAATAAAATAAAATAAAATAAAATAAAATAAAATAAAATAAAATAAAATAAAATAAAATAAAATAAAATAAAATAAAATAAAATAAAATAAAATAAAATAAAATAAAATAAAATAAAATAAAATAAAATAAAATAAAATAAAATAAAATAAAATAAAATAAAATAAAATAAAATAAAATAAAATAAAATAAAATAAAATAAAATAAAATAAAATAAAATAAAATAAAATAAAATAAAATAAAATAAAATAAAATAAAATAAAATAAAATAAAATAAAATAAAATAAAATAAAATAAAATAAAATAAAATAAAATAAAATAAAATAAAATAAAATAAAATAAAATAAAATAAAATAAAATAAAATAAAATAAAATAAAATAAAATAAAATAAAATAAAATAAAATAAAATAAAATAAAATAAAATAAAATAAAATAAAATAAAATAAAATAAAATAAAATAAAATAAAATAAAATAAATTAAATTAAATTAAATAAAATAAAATAAAATTAAATTAAATAAAATTAAATAATAAAAGTATAACACAGGTAGAGTGACATGAATATATTAAATTAAAAAAAAGTGTAATAATTTGGATTTTATAATAAATATAAACTAATCAGCACAAATTAGCACGTTTAGCACTTCAACTTCTCCATAGTATTTCATGTAAATTACCCTTCAATTATAATGCTGAATTCATTACTGTACATGATGCCTGAAGCTGGTAACTCTCGTCTCATTTTGATCTGATTGATTGGAACATCAGATTCAATTACCCTTGACAAAAAATCAATTATTTCAGAAAGCGACATGCTTTTTCAACAAAGAAAGCTGGTTCATCTGTTAAATATCGACATGTTTACTTAATACAATTGTATAACACGATTACTGTTCTTGATTGTAATCATTTGTAATGTTTGTCATTCAATCCTCAATAGTACTAGTGGCTTCAAACAAAAACAAAATAAATACATTTTTATATAAAATAAAATATTTAAAATGTATTTTTAAAAAACAAAGCTGTGTAAAAAAAAAAATATATATATATATATATATATATATATATATATATATATATATATATATATATATATATATATAAGCAATATAAAAAATATATATATATATATATATATATATAAGCAATATAGCTTCAAGTCAAATTGAAAGCAACTGGAAATTGCAAAGGATCCTGTTGTTCTCTTCTAGTAGATTTAAAGAGACGGTGACCTGTTCCAACAATTATACGATTTCTGCTACGCTTGGCAAGACTAACTAATCACGTACACGCTGGGGTTTGTTATCCACACCTTGTGGAGTCGCTGTCAATACTCGTCTGCTAAAATAACCGCGGCTGTTTTCACATTATAGGGACAAAACTGCTTATGTCTGTGTTTACAGACCAGCACCTTCCACCGGAGCCGAGCCGAGCCGAGCCGAGCCGGTTTAATGAAACCGGTTCAATGGAATAAACACATGAGGAAGGAGAGGAACTAAAGACAATGAACCGTTACAGAAGCATCAGCTGTGGACGGCTTTGACTCATCAGTGAGCTTTAATTACATGAAGAGGTGGATCAATCGAGTTTCACAAGCACAGACAGATGATTAGAGGGATTACTGAAAGTCGATGTGACACGGATCAAATTCACAACAGCACACACTGTTCTCCTGAACTTCCTTCTTTTTCCATACAAATGACTATATAATGCCAAAACCTTGACCTTTGACCCTGAGACAAACTACAAACCTGTTGCATTCTTGGAGGCATCACATTACTGAGCACAGCAATGCTTCTCAAATATGACAGAATGAGAGATTTCACTGGAACAAGAGTAATTTAGAGTAATTCAGTGGAATGAACAGATTTTGCTTGGTTTTAAAAGCATTATGATCATTATAGGTTGTATCATTTCCATTGGGCTAAAAAGCACTAAAAAGCATCTTTATACCATATAAGTGCTGTTTGCTAAGAAAAGCATCACATTTAGTTTTGCTCAAATTTAGAGTTATTTGCATATATATATAGGGGTCAGTCTTTTTTTTTTTTTTTATAAATTACAAACTTTTCAGCAGTAACGCATTGAATTAAAATATATACACACACAACCAGAGTCAGTTTTATACTTTTATTCAGCAAAGTGAGAGTACATTTTTTTTTTTAATAGAATCAAATATTGGGGGTCAGTTTTATTTTATTATTTATTTAAAAAAAAAATATATATATATTTTTTTTACAACTTTTTTCTGGCAATAAGGCATTACATTGATCAAAAGTGACAGTAAAAACATTTATAATGTTACAAAAGATTTATATTTCAAAGAAATGCCATTCCTTTGAACTTTCTATTCATCTGGGAATCCTGAAAAATAAAATGTATCACAGTTTCTATGAAACTATTGGTCAGCACAACTGTTTTCAACATTGATAATAATCAGAAATATTTCTCGAGCAGCAAATCAGCATCACTTCTGTCTCGTCTGATTACAGTTAAACTCTCTCTGTTTGTCTAGCTGTGTTTACAGTCGCCTCTCATGGGTAAGTTAGTGCCGTTCGCACAGAAATGAAACCTAAAAACCCAAATCTCTCTGATTGGTGATTCCTCACACCGTGGTGAAGCAGCTGATGGGTTATTAGCACACCTCAGGCTCGCGTCATGGGGTTTTTCTCGCATGGCCAGGATTTAATTGCGGAGCTGTTTCAAGTAAAGAAAGCTGTCTTTTGTCCAATTTGTAGTGTTTTATGCACAGATCAGAAGTAAACAGAGCGTCTCGGAGGATTACAAGGTTGTATCCGAGGAAAGTCAATACAAGTCCCTGAATGATGATTAGAGCAGGAGAGAGAGAAAGAGAGAGAGAAATAAGAATGGGAAGGTAGAAAGAAGTCCTGCAGTAAAGCATAAAGACGCTTGTGTTCAGTAATCATGTGAAACGTGAGCTCTGTGTGAAAACCTGTTAGGCTGGACTCAAGATCACTGACGAATGTTTGCACGAAGCTTCCTCTTCTATTAGTGCCCATTTCATTCTGAATAACTCTACTGGTAAGAATCTGTTCGTCACACACAGTTGTCGTCTGACTTCAGCTCTCCTCCTTTAATTAAGTCTCGTAACTCGCTCAGATTCCTCCAGAGATGCGGCTGTAATCTCGGCGCATCTCTCAGGGCCGTTGTGTTTAGACGGCTGATGCTATTGTGCTCCCTGGATGTCAGGAGGTCCACGGCAGCGCCTGCATGAAAGCAATCTCATTCAGCGCTGGAGTGGATTCTGATTGGCTGTGGTTGATCCCGACACCTGAGCGGCGCACAAGAGCCGGCTCTCCTGATTAGCGCCATGCGATCCGTCCCTCAAGAGCGCCTCTGCCGCTAACAGAGCTGTTAGAGAAAGCATTTGAACTTATGAGGCCGGGGAGGCTGTGTTTTGTTGGCGGAGATGAATCCGAGCGCTCTAAGAACGAAGTTCAATGAAAGCAATTCGCAGCAATGAAACATCTCTCTGTGCTTGAAAAGGCCACGACTCCTGCTGAGGCCGAGAAATCGCTTTTAACCCACAACGCTCTGGAAACGCTCCCTGCTCCCAATTTCTGTGGGTAATTCATCTCTGTCGCCGGCACCGCGAGCGACAACGTTCCCATGGCGATTCACAGAGGATTCCTCGATTGTCCTTAAACAATTATTTGAACAGAAACAATGAGAGTAAAAGCTTCACTCCCTGCTCTGATGCTGTGTGGTTCAGTACAATGAGCCAAATGAACTAAATATGGCAAACAAATGAATATAATGGCACTATACACTACTAATCAGTGTTTGACAGAATCAGTGTGTGACAGTAGTGTAATGTGACAAAACACTACAAATCTCTCTCTCAAGTAATGTTGAGAAAGCAAATTCATTTTAGTGAATTGTTTGGTTTGGATATATCATTACATGCTTTACATATCATTACATTACTGGGTCGTAATATTGTTTTTTTTAAAGAAATTAATACTTTTATTAATCAAGAATGCATTACATTGATCAAAAGTGACAGTAAAGACATATATAATGTTACAAAAGATTTATATATATTTTTTTTTAATGCAGTTCTTTTAAACGTTCTGTTCATCTGTAAATCCTGAAAAATAAATGCATCACGGTTTCCACAGAAATATTCGGCAGCACAACTGTTTTCAACATTGATAATAAGATTGTTTTTTTTAAAGAAATTAATACTTTTATTAATCAAGGATGCATTACATTGATCAAAAGTGACAGTAAAGACATATATAATGTTACAAAAGATTTATATATATTTTTTTTTAATGCAGTTCTTTTAAACGTTCTGTTCATCTGTAAATCCTGAAAAATAAATGCATCACGGTTTCCACAGAAATATTCGGCAGCACAACTGTTTTCAACATTGATAATAATCAGAAATGTTTCTTGAGCAGCAAATCAGCATATTATACTGATTTCTGAAGATCATGTGACACTGAAGACTGGAGGAATGATGCTGAAAATACAGCTGCACATCACAGAAATAAATTACATTTTATAATATATTCACATAGAAAAGAGCTATTTTACATTGTAATAATATTTCATTATTTTTAATTAAATGCAGCCTTGGCAAGCAGAAGAGACTTATTTCCAAAACATTAAACAGTCTTTTTGACCCAGACATGCAAATATGCATTGAGTTGAACTACAGTTTCTTCAGCATTAGATCTACAGCACAGAAGAGTTCAGGAAGCAGCCACAGAACCGCTGGAGTTCAGCCGCAACGCTTTTATATAACCTTCATTCCCTGCATCTGATCCAGTTCAGCAACAGAAAGACTGCGGCGTTCCTGAGCTCCAGCTGAGAGCGGCTTTGCAATCCTCTGAGCACTTCAGGATAATCCTTTTCTCTTTCTTTATTGAAAAACATGTTTTGTTTGAAAATAATATCAAAGAAAATGCCTTTTCAGTTCAAGTCTCTGAGGAAAACCAAATGAGCCGAATGAAATCATGCAAAAGTCACATGACCGGAATATACACTCTTAAAAATAAAGGTGCTTCAGAAGGTTCTTCAAGCGATGCCATAGAAGAACCATGTTTGGTTCCACAAAGAACCATTCAGTCAAAGCTTCTTTAAAGAACCATCTCTTTCTTACCTTTTTATAATCTCAAGAACCTTATTTCGCCAGAAAGAAGCTTTTGTGAAACAGAAAGGTTCTTCAGATGTTAAAGGTTCTTTATGGAACCATTTAGACAAAAAGGTTCTTCTATGGCATCATGAAGCACCTTTATTTTTAAGAGTATATGAGGACTGCCAAAGATGAATTAAATATGTTAACACTGCTAAATATATTTATCACAGCTAAAACAGTTGCCTAATGTGACACTGTTACCGCTTCATTCAGTTCTGAGTGATTTCTAAAAACTGACAAGAATAAAAACACACTCATATAAAGGAAAATCCAGAAATGAGACTTTATTTCTGAGTTGTTTCTCCTAAACAGATAATAAGACCGAAAATAAAGAAATCGCCTGCTTCTCAGATGTTTCTCCTCTAGAGTTTCCACAGATCTCAAACTTGGAAAGTGTGCAATCAAAATTCAGAGATCTCAATATGAACTTTAACTATGAGACATTTCTCATCAAATGATCTGAACTGATCCACATTCATTTTATAGCTCTAAACTCTTATTGAATGACTCATTTGGGTCTGTTTTATTTCTCAAACTGCACCACTTCTTAAAAAAATTTTTTTTATTCGTATTCAGAAACAAATTAAACATAATATTAAGAGGGTTATTATATTTAACTAAAACTGAAACCTTAAAAAAGATTTTCGTTATCCAATAATGACAATGACAAAAACTCACAAAAAATTATTTGAACTAAAATGAAAATGAAAATAGAGAATAGAAAAATACCAATATATATATATATATATATATATATATTACTAAATCTCACAACAAAATGATAAAAAATGTAACTAAAGTAAAAATTAAAAAAGGAAAATATAAAAATGAAAACTAATTCAAAATATTAATAAAAACTATATCTTAATGACACTGACACACGGCTGAAATGAAAAATCACAAGATACCAAACCATATAAAATTAATTTGTTAATTGAAATAAAATAAGCATTAACTGAAATAAAATAAAATATATAAAAACACCTTAAACTTATTTTAAGGCAGCTGCCAAAGCAACATTTCTCATTTTGATTTCGTTTAACTTAATATAGTAAAATAACTAAAATAAAAATTTTAACTATATAGACAACTGCTAAAAATGATAAAAACATACAAAAAAATTACTAAAACTTTAAAATCTAAATGAAAAACATAAAAATATGAATTAAAAACTACACTAAAATAACACTGAATCTTAATCACAAAACTGCCCAAAATCACGAGATTCATTATGATTAATTATTCGATTCTTCTGAATTTGCCCAATAAAGTGTTAAAAACAGAAATGCACTTCATGTGAGTATTAGCAGATACTGTAACTGTAAAAGAGCCTGTTTTTTTCAAAACAAAGCACACAAAGCACAAACGCGGATCCATACAGCAGGTGTCAATCACAATCAAGTATTCCAGAGAGTCAGCTAATGCATCTATTCATGCATTTTATTGAAATCTGAACAATTATCCTGTTGTTTGTGTTGTTTATTAGACATCTGCACACGCACCTAAAGCCTCTCGCCAACACCAAAGTGCTCCATATGCAACACGGATCCGAAATCAACGCTTGACAAACACCATGAAAAGTCAAATGTGCTTTGTAGAGTAAACAAAATGTTTCTGGCCTGTTTGCTCGGCATCATGATCTGAAGCAAAACAAATCAATGTGCATCAGTTGAACAATTATTATCACTCTTTTAAGTTAGAAAGACTTTAACCCTATAAAGTCTACTGGCTGCACACATTTCTAAAGCCTCAAATGATCAAACTTTGCTGTTAAACCTGTCGCACACAATCTACTGCACACCTTCTGTCGTCTGATTGAGAGTTTAGAGTTTTTTTATCCAGTTAAAGCTCTTTTAGTGTAATTGTACAAACGTCCAGCTTCAGCTGGAGCTTCACGTGTCTTCCTGCTGTCAAATCTTGACTGATTTTGATCAAGTAAAGGTCAGAATAACTGCAGTAATATCTCCAGATGAACACTCACTGGACTGAAGCAGCTCAGCTTTACTTGATTCTCCATCAATCATGTTTTAGAGTCTCAAATCTGATCCTCAGGATCTTTTGAGGAGCGTTTGTTTCCAGAAGCTTTACTTTCACTGTTCCTCAGCGGAGGAATGATCTTCACAAGCCTCCAGAACATCTCACGTTTATTTCTTCATCTCTCAATCAGCATTGGATTGCATTGCATTATATGTTTGGATCATTTCAATCTCATTTTACTAAGACATAATATTGGAGATATAGAGCGACGACTGATATTCATAACATTTTATGTCAGTATCTGCTGTACTGTTATAAAGATCTCACTGATTTACATTACAAGCTTCAGAATTTCATCATATCAAATATCAGCATCTGCAGCAAATTGCATATTTATGCTCAGTTTGAGTCTGTGAATAAAATGTGGCTGTTTTTTTCCCCTCCATATTCTCACTATATCAGACTATATGAGCCATAAAAGCCTGATGGATCAAATATGATACTCAATAAAAACACATTCACACTTTTTATTTTTTTCAGAAGGTCCAATAAACTGACTATTCTGACTATTGCTTCATACGTCAAGCTTTACAAGGATAAAAATTCTCTGTGGTGACACATTCTTCCCTAAAAACCGAAAATAAGAGCAAAATCAGGATGGTTGTGGATGTTTCTGTGACAGATGGTGCTGCGCAGAGACACAGGCTGGTTTATGAGTGACACAGCGCTAAATCTGCAGGACAAAACAGCTAGATAACTCCTTCTGAGAAACAAAAATGTATGCATTTTTAATGCAACAATATAAAATAGAGTTTCACGGCTGGCAAAATATATTTACAGTACTATTTTCTCAATTCACAAGTTCACTTCAGACCCTGCGTGCAGCCTAAAATACACATAAAAGCCACAAACCACATTCATTTTCTCCTGCAGTTCAAAGCCAAAAGCTATAAACTTCTCCAAAACACAATGAAAGCTTGGGAATGAACGGCTCACGTGATCTATCACGGTCTGAATTCATTCTACGTGTTAACAGTTGATCATAAGTGACCGTTTCTTCCTACCTGGAGCCTGTTGAAGCACCATATCGGGCAGATCCTGCAGGTGGATGAAGAGAACGAGTCCTCCGATCCCAAACAGCAGCAGAAACCAGAAAGAGCAGGCCGGCTTACAGAAGGACACCCGCAACCTCCTGCGGCCACGAAGAATATCCACCATCTTACAATCCATGAAGAGAGAACGAAAGACACACCTGCTGAAAGAGAGAGAAGCACAGATCGTGAACACATTCTCCTTTACATACAGCCTGTTTGATAGTACAATGAATGGTTGGAAAAACAAAATGATGATGTTTTTGCATTTACATACTGTATATGCATTTGGCTAATGCCTTTATCTAAAGCGTGCATTCCATGGGAATCGAACCCATGACCTTGGCGTTACACGCGCCATGCTTTACTTTTAAGCTATAGGAATGATGCAAAAAATATTATTCAGTTAATATTATTAGTGAACTTCAGAGAAAAAAATAACTATCTACAAACGTGCATTACAAATTTTAACCCTGTAAATGTGAAATAACACTCAGAAAAAAAAAATAAGATTTTGAAATGGAACAGTTTATTGGACCTTTTAGACAAAATCTAATCCATCATTCTTTTATGTCTCATTCAGTCTGATATAGTGAGGATATAGAGGGGAAAAAAAGAGTGACTCAAACTAAGTTAAAAAAAAGATATTTCTAATTTGCAAATCAATTAGCTAATTCTGATGCTTGTAATGTAAATCAGTGAGATCTTTATAACAGTACAGCAGATACTGACATAAAATGATCTAAATATCAGTCGTCACTCTATATCTCCAATAATTGAAATGATGCAAACAATGCAATGCAATCCAATGATGATTGAGACTGCGATTTTTAAAAATCAACACGACTACCTGATGCATTTCACATCACCGAGAGGTGCATGAGTATAATTTCACATCGTGTTCCTCAGAGTGTAAAAAAAAACGTGTGTCGGCATCAAATTAGCCCATAACGCCTCTACGCTCGTGTTTACCGAAGAGGCTTCAGCGGCCCGTCAGCATAATCACAAACTCATATAGACTCAACGGCCCATTAGCTCAGTGCTGGACGAGAGACTGACAGGCAGAAGCGGGGTGAGACTATTTATTTACCTGATCTCAGAGCAGACAGTAATCAGGTGAAAGGCTGCAGATGTAGAGACGTGTTCGAGTGGGATTGATTCATATGTTCTGTCCTACTTCTGCTTATAGTTACTAAGGGGAAAACAAGGTTGGGTGCATTATTGATGTACTAACACAAAAACACAGATATGAATCCGTATTATTTCTAGAGAATACTGTGCATAGTATGCACGCTACTAGTTCACACTTCACACAATAATATACCCCACAGTGCATTGCATTTGACTAACATCTCTCTAATTGACTCGTTAGGTGATCAGACTGCCAAAAGTTCCACACAATTGAATAAAAATGACAAATAACTACTTGTTTGTTATGATAACTGGATTCCACCCACTGAAATAAACAAGCAACTTAATGAGGTCATTTGACGACAACATTGCACACTACGGTTTGACTGACAAATCATTGCATACTGCATTAATGCTTTACATGCAAATTCCTTTTTAAATTAGTAGGAAAGATAGAGTAAATACTTTGCAATATGCAAGTACTTCTGTATGTTGGTAGAGTGAAAAATGCATATAATTCATTTGAATGCATTCATAAATTTCCAAATATTATATTGTGCAGGAAATTCAATTCAAAACGGAGTAATAACGGGCAGATGTTAAAATGGTGTTCACTGCGAGCACGTCGCTCTCTTTGCGTTAAGCAGGAATTTTATTACCCTGCTGCGGAATGTATAATTATAGCAGGTTTTCTGAAATAATTAATATTCCGGAGCAGAATGAGGCTCGTTAGTGTGTGAGTCTCATTAGGGAACCTGTCACAGCATGAGACACAGTTTACCAGAGAAACAAGATGACAAGGAAACAGGAGGAACAACCAGGATGGAAAACAACACGTGAAGAGAGAGAGAGAAAACATAATAAAGAAATCTATCACACAAAATGCATTTTAATACACTGCAAAAACCGTTCAGGATCTTTACCATGCAATGGAAACCCATTACAGCTATGAAATAAAACATAAAATAGATAAGAGCGAATTTCCATCTCACAATTCGGACTGTGTTTCTCACGATTCACAATCGTGACTTTTTGTCTTACAATTTTTACTTTTTTTTCCCTCAAAATTTTGAGTTTATATTTAATTTAGAATTTATATATCACAATTTTGAGTTTATATTTAATTTAGAATTTATATATCGCAATTTAGAGTTTATATTTAATTTAGAGTTTATATCTCACAATTTTGAGTTTAAATTTAATTTAGAGTTTATATATCACAAGTTTGAGTTTACATTTCATTTAGAGTTTATATATCGCAATTTTGAGTTTATATTTAATTTAGAGTTTATATATCGCAAGTTTGAGTTTATATTTCATTTAGAGTTGAAGCTAGTTCAGATATTTTCATTTAATTTAAGTTGAAGCACTAAAATTACTAACTAAAAGCAAAATAATAAAAGTAAAACTAACTGAAATAAGTAAGTAAATAAATAAATAAATGGCAAAAGCACATATGAAAATTACGAATTATGTAACTAAAATTTAAATGAAAACAAAGAATAAAATTAACGGCTAATTCAAAATATTAATAAGAACTATAATAGTATACAGAACTATAGTATAGTGTAGTATAGTACAGTACAGTGTAGTATAGTATAGTATAGTGTAGTGTAGTGTAGTGTAGAATAGTACAGTACAGTGTAGTATAGTATAGTATAGTGTAGTATAGTACAGTACAGTGTAGTATAGTGTAGTGTAGTGTAGTGTAGTGTAGTATAGTACAGTACAGTGTAGTATAGTATAGTATAGTATAGTGTAGTG